ATTAGATTGTTATAAAACTTGTTTACACAACCAAACAATACAAAACGCTGTTTATTACTATTGTTCTATAATATATATACATATATACAGTCACTGAACACTTTCCTAGAACTGCTGCAGCTTGTGGAAATCTTTGAAACATGGGTATATGCAGAGTGGTACTTGACACTCCTCACACATAAAATGAGTGTCTCTGCATTTTTGTGGGTGTTTTGTGGTATGTCCACATACAAAACACCTCTTCTGAGCACTTTTCTTGAAAGCAGTAGGAGGCATTTGTATGGGGTAGGGATCACCAGGCCTCAAATGAGATGGCATGTGTTGGTAATTTCGTGGGCACTGATCTATTGCAGGTGTTGCTCCTTGGTACTTGAATATTATTTGTCTGATGACTGACAAACAAAATTCACCATATTTTGGTTTGTTGATGGTCTTCAACTTGTATATGTTATAAGTATTCAGCATGGAAATATCAAGAAGATTGAAAAAGAGTTTTATGTACCACTTACAACTCTTGCGTACAAAATCAGCAAACCCAATCTGCATGTCACATTTGTCCACTAAGTGCATATTGAGGTTGTAGTCCATGACAGCTGCAGGTTTTAGAATGGGTTCATTGGTCTCTCTATTCTGCCTGCTACTGTCTGCCATTTCATTTCAGTGAACTGATGTCAGCAATGTGACATCACGTTTGTCATGCCACCGAAATGCCATGATGTCATTGGCAGCAAAGGCCTGCACCTCACCTCTGTGAGTGCCAGCGTCGAACCTTGGCATATGCTTACGATTACCACGCACTGTGCCACACACGTCTGTCATGTTCACTCGCAAGAAATCACTGAGTAAGGGGCTTGTGTACCAGTTATCAGTATATAATATATGCCCCTTACCAAGATATGGTTCCATCATTGTTCTAACCACATCACCAGAGATACCCAATAACTTCCTGGTATCTCTCAGTGTATTACTGCCAGTGTACACAATTATATCCAAAACCAGACCACTTTCGCAATCACACAGTACAAATAACTTTATACCTGAGCATTTCCTCATGCTTGGTATATACTGCTTGAATGAGAGTCTTCCTTTGAACAAAATCAAAGACTCATCAGTAACAAGCTTCCTGAAGGGATAAAAATACATACAACACTTCTGTTTCAGGTACGTAAACATATTTCTCATCTTATATAACCTGTCGCTTCTGTCAGGCCTTGTTTTGTCTGAAAAGTGTAACATACTTAACAGTATCAAAAAACGATTCACCCCTATAATATCACTAAAACCTGGGGTTGAAATCAGGTGTTCCATTGGCCAGTATGTGGTGACAGTGTGCTTGTACACATGTAGCATAAGCATTGTTATGGCAAAGAACAGGTACATCTCTGCCACAGTTGTATCTTTCCACTGGTATAGCCGTGACCTTGGTGAAAGAATTGTATTTGCCATGGTGTACTCATAGTATGTGTTGCTTTCCCTGACAATAATTTCCATCAGGGGTTCATCAAAGAATAACTGAAAGCATTCTAGTTCAGTGGCATTGTTCCCAAGTGTACAACATGGCTGCATTCCACTTTGTGTTTCATCAAAGTCATGGGGATTGGGAATAAAATTGTCACCTTGCTGCCAATCCCAGATGCAGTCTGCTGGTGGGTTCTGGATATTGGAATGTGGTCGTGGTTGTGCAGGTTGTGGTTGTGGTTGTGGATGTTGTGGGAGTGTGGGGTTGGGTGAGGCTGGTTGTGCTTGTGCAGAGTCAGCAGCGTCAGTAGTAGCGTGGCCTGCTGCTGGTGCCACATGACTCATGCCACCGCCAACATCATCACCTTCTTCCCCACACACATTACAAATCCCCATTGTAACAATATCATCATCTTCACTGTCAGGTCATGGTGTAGGGCCACAGGATGTATTCCCAGATTTACTCCTTTGCCTTGGAAGGGCATAAGGCACACAAGCAGAACACATGCTGCGTCGTACATACTGCCGTTTCACTGGTGAATATTCCCCCTCACTGTCGCAACTCGAGCTGCTTTCAGTAACTTTGAAATCACTGCCATTATCACTTTCACTGCTCAGATCTGAGTCCTGTAAACGGGGAAATAGTTTCCTTTTTTGTCCTGGTACAGGTGAACATGAATGAGATGTACCAGCACCAGAGGTGGATGGTTGTGGGTCATCTGGGTTTTCATCACTAATTATGTTATCCTGGGCATTGCTTTTGGTCACACCCTCTCTAAAACCACGAAATTCACTTTCACTGGCACTTCTATTGCTGTTAGAACTTTCACTTGGGAACAGTAGACCTCCAATCCGCCGAGGAGCGAGGTTCTTCTCACCGCGAGACATAGTGAAAATGGACTACCAAGATGGCATTCCCACAATGCACCACTGAGTCCCAGATTTTTTTCACAGGGTGCACACCCACCACACAGCCCCATTCTCTCTCATGTAGGTCTACCAGCTGTCTTCCACTTGATTTGAAGCCACTAGAATTTATGCATATTAATATGTCGGAAACATTGGCTCGTAAGATGTATTTATACGACCGAAACAGTCAAAGGGTTTGCACTCCTGCTGTCCGTGTTCACCTAACAGTAAAGTAGGTACCTGGGTGTTTGTTGACTGGTGTGGGTTGCATCCTGGGGACAAAATTGACTTAATTTGCCAGAAATATTCTGCATAACAAGGGGCTTTCTATATACAGTGAACCCTCAGGTAACAATTTTAATCCGTTCCAGAGAGCTCGTCCTTAACTGATTTTATCGTTAGCTGAATTAATTTTCCCCATAAGAAATACAGTGGACCCCAACTTACAATATTAGCCCTTTCAGGGTCGAGAGGCCCTCTCCTAAACTTGTTCTCAGGGTCGAAAATTTTTCGGGAAAAAAAATTAATTTTTCTTATGAAAAGATAGAGAATCTTTTCCTGATCATGATGACACCAAAAGTATGAAATTTGATGGAAAACTTATGGAATCAAGCTCTTGCGAAGTTAGCGATCTCGACGATGTTTACGCATTGGTGATTTTGCTGACTTTGAGCCCTATTTTCGGCCATTTCCAGTGTACTAGTTGACAAAAATCATATCTATTTTGCTAGAATTTCATTTTGTCTATCGAATGAGTACAAGAAACCACCCATTTACCGATTTCAAGTATCCAAGGAAGTGGTCAGAAATTGGCAATTTTGCCAATTTCACACAAATTTCAGAAGATGCCAAATAGGGTTCAGAATAAGCAAGACAGACATTCCTGGCACTAAAATAACATTTTCTCTGTTCGTTTGTCATGTCCCCAGGCCCCCTCTTACATCTCCTTTGCTTTCCACTTTGAATTTTTATTCTCACAAAAATTAGAAGACTTACTGTTATGTAGACTACTGTATTAGTGTAGAAATGGTATAAATAATATCAGTGCACTTGTGAAAGAATTTTAGACTCACCAGTTGATGTGTATTGGACACTTGGCATGATTTGTTTACATTTGAAATTTGGTAAAAATTGAACATTTCTGCTACTTTGAGCTCAATTTCATTATGAAACCAATCAAAATCATCTAAATTTCTGTAATATGTCTTCCATTCTATAAAATGAGACCAGGAAAACTAGAATACAACCATAAATACCACATGAAAATACAGTGGACCCCCGCTTAACGATCACCTCCAAATGCGACCAATTATGTAAGTGTATTTATGTAAGTGCGTTTGTACGTGTATGTTTGGGGGTCTGAAATGGACTAATCTACTTCACAATATTCCTTATGGGAAAAAATTCGGTCAGTACTGGCACCTGAACATACTACTGGAATGAAAAAAGTTCGTTAACCGGGGGTCCACTGTACAGTGCAAAGTCAGTGTTTTAAACTAAAAACACGGTCGCAGTTTTTTTCTCTCATGCACTGTGTGCTGCAGGATTTTATTTTATATTGCGCACACTGACCACATAGACCCATTCTTTCATATGTAGGCCTACCAGCTTTCTCTCACTAGATTTGAAGGCGCTGGAATTTAGGCATTCTAGTATGTCAACAACCCTGGTGCGTAAGCCATACTAGTACATCGGAAACCCTGAAAGGGTTAAGGGGAATGTGCTTAATCATTATATTTCCATTTTTGGGGGACATTTTTTGACACTTTCTACACTGATGGACAGAATATCTGAGTTAACTGTTATCTAGCTGTTTTCAGATTGACCATTCGATCATGATTTCTGAATAATTGTTAAATAAATAATTAAGCATCATCTGTATGTTTGGAAGGATATTTACAATATGTTTAATAGTAACTAGGAAAAATATTCACTGTATAACATAGGAAAGGTTGCATTCGTCCTGTAGAGAATGGATTTCATAAGTTATCGTTCATATTCATTGAATTTTTTTGTTGCATGTACTGATATTTGATTAATAAATGACATCCTCATGACACTTGCATAAATTTCCCTGAAAGCGGTGAACGCCCCCCCTCCCCAATTCAGCGTGAACTTATTAATTACAGCACAGTAGTATAATCAAATGAACTATAACCTTTAGGTACATGCTGATCTTTTGTGTGTTTCACTTAGAACAACTTGGTCTTTTTCTTTTAAAATGCTGTTTTTAGGTTAGGCTATGTTGTTTCAATTATGAGGGTATGAATATATACGCTACATGAACACTAATAGTGCCTGTTGCCTAAATGCAGAGTTGCTGCTTGAGTAACTGTTGCCAAAAAGTATTATTTGTACATGGAAACGTACACTGACATGCACACCTGCACTTGCACACACACAAGAGGTTGGGCATGGAGGAGAACGATCATCAGCCACCACAGCCTGGAGGAAAAAAAAAAAACATTTCTGCCAATTTTAGAGAAGTAGACCTATGTATGTTTACTGATGCCCCTAGATATTGGACATAAAAATTAGTAAGGAAAATTATTGAGGTAAGAACAAAGTATTTATATAAAGTAAAAATAGTAGTGAAAAAAATCAGTACTGTACAGCAGCCCATTGTTTACACTATGGCTGGTGGCACCAGATCAGAACATGTCTGTGTTGTTGCACCCGCAGAAATGAACTCTCATAGAATAAGTAATTTGGAACTAAATCAGGTAAGGCAGGAAAGAATGATAGAAAAAGTAAATAAAAATATTAGCTTGAAAAATTAAATAGAAGTAATGAAAAAATTAATACAAGAAATACTAAAAGAGCAAGCCTATATACTAAAGAAAATAGGACAGGGATCAGAAATTGGCAAAATATAAGGATGATATAGAGAAGGAGATTTAAGGTCTGGAAGAGTATGGAGCAAAAATTAGAAGATAGCTATGCAGGAATAAGCAAAAGACAGAAAAATGTAAATATAAATTTTGAAAAGGAAAGAAAGGAGCTGGAAGAGTATAAAGCTAAAATTGAAGATAGTTATCCCAAAATCATTAATCCTTTCAGGGTCAAAGGCCAAAATCTGAAGGGGTGCCCCAGTGTCCAAGAAATTTTGAAAAAAAAAAATACTTTTTTCTTAAAGAATTAAAGATAATATTTTTGTGAAGGTAATAAAACAAAAAAAAAATTCTGATCAGTACCTACCGAGATACAGCGGTTGGAAGTTTACCCAAAATGACCGGGTGGTGGCAACATCAGCGACTTCCGCAAAATCGCATTTTTTTTTATTTTACGTACTTTATACTTTTTTCTTTTCTTTTCTATTTTTTTTCTTTTTCTAGTAAGATTTGTGGCCTGTGAGACCAGTATAATGTATATTGTTTAAGTGTACACTCATTGTATTCAACACAATAATTGCACTAATTTGTTTAGCATTATATTGCTTACAAAACTTATTTACAAGTTTATTATAAACAAAATGATGAAAATATTAGTGTGGTTATTGTGTTGAATACAATGGTACCATATAGTACCATATGGTGCCATAGGGTGCAATGGTACCATATGGTACAATGGTACCGTATGGTACAATGGTACCATAAACCATACCCCCGGCCGGGATTGAACCTGCGGTCATAGAGTCTCAAAACTCCAGCCCGTCGCGCTAGCCACTAGACCAGCTAGCCACAATAAGATTCATCCAACTAGGTATATTTCTACACCATAGGAAAGTTAGCACAGGCACCTCTGTGACCACAAATGCAAGTTTTTACAGACGAATCTCCAGCTAGCGTGGCCGTGACGAACTCTAGCTCAAGTCCCTTCACTGCCGTCAACATGACTTAAGAAATCGTAATGACACGATTGCAAATAAACCATACCCCCGGCCGGGATTGAACCCGCGGTCATAGAGTCTCAAAACTCCAGCCCGTCGCGCTAGCCACTAGACCAGCTAGCCACAATAAGATTCATCCAACTAGGTATATTTCTACACCATAGGAAAGTTAGCACAGGCACCTCTGTGACCACAAATGCAAGTTTTTACAGACCAATCTCCAGCTAGCGTGGCCGTGACGAACTCTAGCTCAAGTCCCTTCACTGCCGTCAACATGACTTAAGAAATCGTAATGACACGATTGCAAATAAACCATACCCCCGGCCGGATTGAACCCGCGGTCATAGAGTCTCAAAACTCCAGCCCGTCGCGCTAGCCACTAGACCAGCTAGCCACAATAAGATTCATCCAACTAGGTATATTTCTACACCATAGGAAAGTTAGCACAGGCACCTCTGTGACCACAAATGCAAGTTTTTACAGACGAATCTCCAGCTAGCGTGGCCGTGACGAACTCTAGCTCAAGTCCCTTCACTGCCGTCAACATGACTTAAGAAATCGTAATGACACGATTGCAAATAAACTAGCTAGCTGGAGATTCGTCTGTAAAAACTTGCATTTGTGGTCACAGAGGTGCCTGTGCTAACTTTCCTATGGTGTAGAAATATACCTAGTTGGATGAATCTTATTGTGGCTAGCTGGTCTAGTGGCTAGCGCGACGGGCTGGAGTTTTGAGACTCTATGACCGCGGGTTCAATCCCGGCCGGGGGTATGGTTTATTTGCAATCGTGTCATTACGATTTCTTAAGTCATGTTGACGGCAGTGAAGGGACTTGAGCTAGAGTTCGTCACGGCCACGCTAGCTGGAGATTGGTCTGTAAAAACTTGCATTTGTGGTCACAGAGGTGCCTGTGCTAACTTTCCTATGGTGTAGAAATATACTTAGTTGGATGAATCTTATTGTGGCTAGCTGGTCTAGTGGCTAGCGCGACGGGCTGGAGTTTTGAGACTCTATGACCGCGGGTTCAATCCGGCCGGGGGTATGGTTTATTTGCAATCGTGTCATTACGATTTCTTAAGTCATGTTGACGACAGTGAAGGGACTTGAGCTAGAGTTCGTCACGGCCACGCTAGCTGGAGATTGGTCTGTAAAAACTTGCATTTGTGGTCACAGAGGTGCCTGTGCTAACTTTCCTATGGTGTAGAAATATACCTAGTTGGATGAATCTTATTGAGGCTAGCTGGTCTAGTGGCTAGCGCGACGGGCTGGAGTTTTGAGACTCTATGACCGCGGGTTCAATCCCGGCCGGGGGTATGGTTTATTTGCAATCGTGTCATTACGATTTCTTAAGTTAATGGTACCATATGGTACAATGGCACCATATGATACAATGATACCATATGGTAGAATATGGTACAATGGCACCATTTGGTACAATGGTACCATATGATACAATGGTACCATATAGTACATTGTACCATATAGTACAATGATATATGGTTCTTTGTACCATATGGTACTACATGGTACTGTTGTATTCAACACAATAAACACACTAATATTTTCATCATTATTTTGTTTACAATAATTGTTTACAACAAAAATATACAAAAATGTTGTATATTAGTAATGTTCTATTATGTATTTACAAATGTACAGGAACTCGACATGTTCCTTGAGGTGGATGTCAAAGCGCTTTGTCTTGGAAACTGCCGAGTCACTAGCTAGCTTGCGTCGTCACTCACTCAGTCTTGCCTGGTGGCAGCAACATCTCTGACCATATGGTACATGGTATCATATGTTACAGGGTACCATATGGTACATTGTACTATATGGTATGGGATACCATACAGTACAGGGTACCATATGGTGTAGGGTACCATATGGTGCAGGGTACCATATGGTACAGGACACCATATGGTACAGGGTACCATATGGTACAGGGTACCATATGGTACATTGTACTATATGGTAGAGGGTACCATACAGTACAGAATAACATATGGTGCAGGATAACATATGGTGCAGGGTACCATATGGTGCAGGGTACCATATGGTGCAGGGTACCATATGGTACAGGGTACCATATGGTACAGGGTACCATATGGTACAGGGTATCATATGGTACAGGGTATCATATGGTACAGGGTACCATATGGCACAGGGTACCATACAGTACAGGACACCATATGGTACAGATACAGGGATCCCTATGGAAATAAGTCACCCTGACTTTTTTGGGTTATCCTACAATTTTATACATATGCTGCAATGTATGATAATCCATGTAATTGTATTTCTGTACACCTTAATAAACTTATTCAAGCGCATGTGGCATCATAAGTTTACAGTATTTAGGTATACACAAATAAAGTTACATAGAATATCATACTTAGCAGCATATGTTTGGAGAACCTAGGATAACCCAAAAAGTCAGACAGACTTATTTCCATTAGGGTCCCTGTACCCTGTACTATATGGTACAATGTACCATATGGTATAATGTACCATATGATACAATGTACCATATGGCACATTGTATCATTGTACCATGTGATACCATTGTATGACATGGCACCATTGTACCATATGGTACCATTGTACCATATGGTACAATGGTACCATATGGTACAATGGTACCATATAGTTCAAAACCGTAGAATTCCTCTTTGGCTCCACTTCCATCAGTCTTAGAACTGTAAGTTGTGAAGAGGAGAGTCAGAATTTGCCAGGAGAGTGAGTGGGGAATGAGAGCTTCCTTGCTGCGAGGCATGATGAACAAAGTTACTTTGACGGCGTTCCCACAATGCCATGCGGGCATCCAGATTTTTTTGTATAGTGCGCACACTGACCACCTAGACCCATTCTCTCGGATGTAGGCCTACCAGCCTTTTTTGTGCTAAATTTGACGCCACTAGAATTTTGGCGTAGATCTACGGTTTGGACCCTCAACGTAAAGCCATAGATCTATGGCACGGACCCTGAAAGGGTTAAAGAAAAGGGAGAGAATAACAGGTGGTATTGGCAAAGGAATTTATTTCTAGAGCAAATAGCCTAGAAGTTAACCCTTTGAGGGTCGCCAGGCCCTCTCAGAGACTTGTTCTCAGGTCGCCAAAATTTAAAAAAAAAAAAAATTGTTTTCTTATGAAAAGATAGAGAATCTTTTCCCGATCATAATCACACCAAAAGTATGAAATTTGATGAAAAACTTAAGGAATTATGCTCTCGTGAAGTTAGCGGTCTCGACGATGTTTACGCATCGGCGATTTTGCCCACTTTCATCCCTATTTTCGGCCAATTCCAGTGTACTTGTCGGCAAAAATCATAACTATTTCGCTAGAACTCCGTTTTTTCTATCGAATGAGTACAGGAAACCACCCATTTACCGATTTCAACTATCCAATAAAGTGGTCAGAATTTAGCAATTTTGCCAATTTCACACAAATTTCAGAAGATGCCAATTTCCAAGTAGGATCCAGAATAAACAAGAAAGACATTTCTGGCACTAAAATAACATTTCCTCTGTTCATTAGTCACATCCCCAGGCCCCTCTTACATTTCTTTTGCTTTCCACCTTGATTTTTTATTCTCACAAAAAAAGTAAGATTTACTGTTATGCAGACTACTGCATTAGTGTAGAAATGGTATAAATAATATCAGCGCACTTGTGAAAGAATATTAGACTCACCAGTTGACGTGTATTGGACGCTTAGCATGATTTGTTTACTTTTGAACTTTGGTTAAAATCAAACATTTCTGCTACTTTGAGCTCAATTTCAAGGTACTTTTCATTGTAAAACCAGTCAAAATCATCTCAATTTCTGTAATATGTCTTCCATTCTATACAATGAGATCAGGAAAACTAGAATACAACAATAAATACTGTACGAAAA